ATCCCCAGTGTGGGGCATGCGGGAGGCAACTGATCAATGATTCTCTCTCATCATTGATGTTTCTATCTCCCTCTCCCTCTCTCTTCCTCTCTGAAATCAATAAAAAATATATAAAAATAATAAATTAAAAGAAATTTATTTGAATGTCTGGCTTAAGGCCATATAAAGGCCTGGTTTATAGCATTTTCCAATTTCCATGATATAATACATGATGATTTCAAGCTTCCAATGGTTTAAAAAGCAACTAACATAACTGCTAAAAATTCAATAATCAGTTACTGCAAGCTGACAGGTGCAGCTCCAGGAGACCACTACACTGCTCAATGATATGGTTACATTTCCCTCGGTCTCAACTCTTAATAAGAATTTGATTTTTGGTCACAGCATGTATTTCCAAATGCCTCTTATATCTCACTCCAAGTATCTCTACTGATGTCAGGAATATCCTGGCAGATCAGAAGGATAGGATACATGATACTCATTTTACTAAGATGAAGAAACCAAGTCCCAGGAAAGTGGTGTGATTCAACCTGAATCATATTATAAGTAATTGTTAACATCATTTAATAAATTGTTTTATTTTCCATAAATATAACTGATTTTCCACAAATTCAAATTGTGGAATTTCTAAAAATATTTTTAAAACTCTAAAAAAATAAAAATCTTGCCATCTAAAGACATCAGTTAACAGTATTACATGTATGAGTATTTAATATATATATAGGTTTCATACTATTATAACAATTATATATAGTATTCTACCTTACTTTTTACTTTATACAAGATCAGCATTTTCTGTGTTATTACAAATGTCTGGAAACTATTTTTAATGCCTGTATAATATTGCAATGAATTGACTCACTATCATTTACTTACTAATTTTCCTGGTTTTAAACATTTAGGTTGGTTTGAGCTTCTGTCATTATCAACTACTATATAATCAATACCTTTATATAAAAAGATTTTTCTATAATATGGGTCTTTTTTATTGTTTAAATCTTAGAACAATATTGCCAAGACTAGGACTCAGATTTTTAGATTCCTATTCCTAATTTCTTTCCACTACATTTCCCAACTCTTAAAATAATAAACCACGTGGGCATTTTAATCTAATGCCATTGTAAGTTTTCATGTAAGTGTTTCGGTTTTCTTAGTCATCCCTAACCAATGGTGGAAAGGAAGCACCTTGAAACCTAACCCAAATGCAAACATAGCTTTCAGTACTATTACTTTATAGGAATATATTCAAGGAAATTGGTAATAACATTAGCATTGATGAAAAAACTGATTAGAGTAAGAGTGAATTATGCCAATTTGTTTCTGTGGGCTTTGGTTTTATCGTCCCAGTGTTTACACAAGGTCTGTCTCTTGTTCGGCCTTTAAAGTTGTCTCCCTGAGTCTTCATTTCGGCCTCATCACTCAGGAGTTGAATGACCAACTTGTCTTGGTTTTCCCAGGGAATTCACAATTTAAAACTAAAGTTTAAATTCCCATATCCCAGGAAACACAATAGTTCCAGGCAAACCAGGAGGGTTGGTCACCCTACCAGTCAGGAGTGGATACTGACTCAAGAGTCATCCACAATTCCTCCCGCTCTTTTACCCCTCACATCTATTCAATCACAAAGTTAAGTTGATTTAATCTTCTGTCAATGCTCAAATCCACCCAACTTGTTTTCATCTCTACTATTACCACCTCTAAAATTTGGTTCAATCTACTCTAATGAACAAATTAATCAGCAAAGTCATTTCAGATCTACCAAAGATCACACAGCTGCTTCCTGCTTCCTGTGTCCTCTTCCTCCATCCTCCCCAAGCACAGAGTATGGCAGGAACAGTAATTGGAGTTCTGATGTCTTTGGCTTTATGCTGCCACTTACTATGTAAATATCATGGGCTTAGTTTCTGCATAGGTGAGGATACAAATACCAGTCGTTTTGTAATGCCAGTTCTCAGCAGTGCCTAGTAGCAATTTCAGCTTTTGACAATGTTAAAAAATATTAATGACTTACAGTTGCAGAAACTTGATGCTACAGAATCTTAACAACCAGCGATCTTTTAAGACTAATATGTAAACAGAAGTAGAGTGAATTAAAATGGGCAGGATACTTTTGAATCCTCTAGCTTCTCCAATTTGCTGCTAGGTATTGTGATGTTATCTCCTCAAGGCAGAACGGTCTTGAATGACCATATGTTTGCATAATGGCTTTTTAGTTGCTTCTTTTGCTCATTTGCTTTCCACAACTAATTGATTACCAGACCTATGCTGAGGTCTGGAGGCATCTTTGCTTGAGATCAGTCACAATTCCCTTGGATAGGTGAAGAATAATGTTATTTCACCTTGAAAAGGTAAGGAAAGTTTGTTTTCCAATTAGGAATATATTTTATCCAGGAAATTTAGGGTTTTTAATGTTTGTCATATGGTAAGAAATTTTCCATGGTCTATGTGAATATTAAAATAGGCAATGCCCCTAGACCAGAAAAGTATCAGCTACTTCTCTTTGTTATGATGGATACCTGGGTATTGGGGAAACTGGAATTATGGAGACAATAGAGAAGATATTCTAACATTGGGATCTGTAAGGTTATTTGTCAGCCTTGAGTCAGGCCACTCTCTAGAATCCTAAATTTTGATGAATACCTTAGGTTCAGTAAAATTTAATATTCTGAGAGTCAGTCACATACACTTCTTTATCTTACCCTGAAAACATTTAGGATAATGACTGCTGAAAGACAGTTTCTGGTACAGGTCATCAACATAAGGAATGGAAGCAAATCCTAGGCAGTTAGAACCAAAGGGGTAGAAAGAATCTTTAGTACAAACCAGTAGCAAGGACAGTAATAGACTGCAGAGATCAGTTAATAAAATTCTAAAATGAAAGTTCCATTTGGGAACGTATCTTTTCTGCTATATTCATATAATAGCTCCAGTTTCTAGAATAATGTGTGGCACTTTAAAGGTGCTCATTAAAATATTATTAAGTAAACAAATATCTAAACATCAGCTTAGGGGCAGGTGACTATGAAAGAATGTGAATAGCTTTGCATTCTAAGGGCTGGGGATGGTAAAGTAAAAAATAGGAGAGTTTAAACATATCAACAACTTGATTTGCTCTGGTCCCTTATGCCTTACAGGCTTGATAAACTACAACAAACTCAGTTCTAAAGCTTTCATGTCTTTCAGACCATTAGAGAAACCCCATGACTGGATAATGGCTGCTGCTAAGAGCTTGCAATGTTAAATAAGAACACTAACTTAATTCTAAGGCATTATAATATAAATGCAAGGACTCATTAATATTTCAAAATCTTGTCAAAAGCCCTGACAGAGAAGACCCAAATGATAGTCCATGAGAAACAAAACAAAATGAAAAGAAATAATTAAGGCTTAAGGGTTTTCAAAAGCACAGAAAAAGAGAAGACTCCAGAACTGAACACGTGAGAAAACGGGAGGGTGACTATTGTTGTGTGAGATCCCAGCACAGAGCCAGTAAAAGAAGTGCAATGTTATTTTGAAGGCCCTGGTGAGCATATCAATAGTGACGTTCTTTGGTAGGCAAGGTTTGAAGTACACATGAGCACATATGCCTGTTAGAGACATGTGTGCTTTTGTTATCCACCTGGGTTGACTTCAGAGACTCAAAGCAAAGGCCTATCCCTTGTCCAGAACCCACTGTTAAAAAGAAATTAAGGAAGAGCAGTCTAGTGTATTTGATACAGCAAAGCAAAAAAAAGGCCCAGGAAAATATTTTATCTTTTAATAAACAGTTTCCATTATCATCATCAAATGCCTGCATTTTTACAAACCTGATCTTCTCAGCCCAGCATTTACAGAAAATTGCCAAGTATTGTTTATAGATAAAAGCACAATTCAATATTTATGAATTGCTGGTTTTCTATAAATATAGACATTTGGAGATGATCTTCTCACTAGTCATTAAATTTTGAACAGAGATCAAAGCTAGAATAATATTCACAATTCCTTGCATTTGTATAGTGTTTACATAATACTATTAATAATAGATGACATTTACGGAGCACTTAGCAAGTGCCAGGCACTTTACATGTAAATTTGCATAATGAATTCAGTTCAGTTCAAGGAACATTCACTTAGCACCTACTGTGTGACAGATGAATAACATTTTGTTTCTGTCTTTAAAATCCCTTGTTTTGGTACACTCAATCAGTAGTTGTTGAATGAGTGAATGAGTGGATGGATGAACAAAATAATTGGTTTGAATGGCATTGTGGGGTAATAAAAATAACTCAGGCTCCTCCCCTTACTATCTATCATCTTTAGAAAGTACTTAACCTTTCCTAGACTCAATTTCTTCCTCTGTAATATAGGGATATTTAAAATCTCTCTTGCAAAAATGCTGTGAGAATAGTAACAGCAAATGTAAAACATCTGACAAAGAATGGCTCTAGGTAATGACAGTAGTTATTATTATCATCCATATCATCATCATTATTACTATAATTGGGCAATCCTATCCAGCTCTCATCCTCACTAGAGCAATGGGACAAAGAGAACTTTAACATCCACAAAAATACAACATCTACACACACACACACACCAAAAAAAATGTATACTAAAATGTAGTTCTCATTATCCTCCTAGGTTACTGAACAACATTTATGCCCAGGCTAAAAGAACATAGAATCAACTTTAATTAAGTTTCCAAAGATATCGTGATAAAAAGCAAGCAGGATATGAAATTAACCAAATAATAGGCTACACCTTCCCTCAGAATGTTGGTCAATCTAAACATGAGCATGTTCTCTATCCCAACATTCTCAAAACAAACAAACAAACAAACAAAAAACAGCACCTGGAGCCATCCAGAAATTCATATTATTCTTCTAACCAGTAGCCACCCAGAAACTCATCTTATTCTTCTTAGTGCCAGTGAGGCTAAGCCCTATCCATACAGCAGATGAACTTGAGCTCTGGGTCAAATTCTCCAACCTGAAATATGTCCCAATCGGTGGGTCACTTACCATTTTGGTCTGCTCGTAGATTTCACCATAGGGGCCATCCCATCTCTATAAAGACTCTTGGTTTTGCTGAAGTTAACAATGTTGAAAATAACTCTCTGAAAAAGGAGAGAGAAGTTTATCAGAAGACTATGCTATATGCAAGTTGCTACTTCCTGATAATTAATACTGGAAAAAATAAGCAGGGTTAAACTGTACAGTGAAGAAAAATGATGCTCACAGAAACTCAATGTGTTTGTTCCAGTTTAGTACAGTAGTTAACACCACAGACTCTGGTACCTAGAAGCCTGAGTTTTAATCCCAGTTTACACTCTCAAGTTGTATGACCTTGCCAAACTATTAAGTCTTTCTGCGTCTCAGTTTCTTCATCTGGAAAATGGGAATAATAATGGTATCTAGGGTTACTGATGAGGATGAAATAAGTTAATATGTGTACAGTGTTTGGAACCATACTTGGTACATAATCAGTACTATATAAGTTTTGGCCATTATTAATTGTGCTGTCTCTCTAGAGACTGACCTAGAATTTGCATGGAAATGAATGATATTATCATTACAGTGATAGTCGTGCATTTGAAGTTCAACAAACTAAAGATAGTAACAGTACAAAACTGAAGTTAAAAAGTTATGCAACTTCTCCACACCCTTTTGACTAGAACTGGAGGTTATATGTCCTCTCTGCACCCCCTTTGTTATCCTTTGCTAGGCCTAGGGGTACTAGGCTCAACCCTAACTTTAACATCAACTTATAGGGGCATAGGTACTTGGGTAAGCACCTTTCCTCTCTGGGTTTCCCCTTTAAAAATGGGGGAGAGTGTTCTAGATGACTAAAGTTAGAAGAAATTAGGCCCTTGTTTTAATAATTTTGTCACAACTGGGGAGAAGAGACTAGGAAAGAAAAGATAATTGGGTTTAAAAGACACTAAATGACCACGGAAAGAGTCCAAGGGACAGAGGATGAGGAGCAGAGCAAGGAAAGCCAGAGTAGCTGCAGAAAGGGAAAGCTTTCAATGGATCACCATAGACTAGTGTTTCGATCCAGAGGCAAAGAGGGAAGCATCAAAATTCATGTATTGTTTCAGTTAACAAATATTTATTGTGTGAAGTATTATAAAATATCAAGGGCCAGGTGTTTTACACACTTTTTAAATGATTTAAATATTCTCCTATAACTGCAGATGTGGAAATGGAGGCTCCAAAAGTTTACTTGTTTAAAGTCATATAATAGATAATAGATGGAGAGCTGATATTGAATCCAGGGGATTTAAAAAAAATAAGATGCCCATGATCTTGAGCTGCCCACTAAGGTTCCAAATTTCATAACTCTAACCAAAAATAAGGGCAAATATAAATATAATAAAAAATTTCAAGTCTTTATAATTTTGGGGTTTTTTTGAAAAGAGAAAATCTTAACCACTTCCTCTGGCCTCATGTTTGGAACTACCATAAAAATATTTTGTTCTATGAAATAAGCTCTTAGGAATAACTCATGTTTTTCTTTCTCCTTAGAGATCTAACCATTGACCGCATCTCCAGGCATTTCAGTTTCAGAACTCCCTGTTGCATTAAATTAAGTCATCAAGAATGTCCAAGGCTATTCCATTATTAATAACCCAGACCTGCCTGTTGTCAGTTCAATTACTTCTCCCAGGCTCTTGACTATGGTCCGATTTAAGAAAATCAATATCAAGGGGCACAAATGGCCTTTGAACCTCACAAAGCTTAATCCCCCCCCTTTTCTTCTGAGATTCCAGGTGTCAGATCCAGTGAACCTGGAAGCCATATTGCAATTTCAGGATTAAATTAATACTAAATGCAGGGGGTGGGGGGACATCTAATACAGAAATAATGTGCATATGTGAAGCTGAAATAAATGAGAAAGTAAAACATTTATTGATCATTAATATCCTACACTGTGCCAGGAATATTTCCCAGGTGTTTTAAATATACTTGATTATTTAGCATCTACATCCATAAACAAAAGTTATTTATTTTAGCCCAACTTCAAACATGAGGAAATTAAAGCTAACACAGGCTAACTGGCTTGTCACTCCTCCCGCTCTCCCTCACGCCGCAAAATACACCACACATGCACACACACACACACACACATACACACATACATACACACACACGCGTACGCCAGAACTATTAATTGTTAGAGCTAGGATTTAAATCCTAGGTGCTCAGACATAAAGATCATACTTTCTGTGACACTACAGGCAAAGAGGACACTATCTTTTAACATTCTTCACCCATGCATTTCTTAATGTTTTCTAGCCTATTTAGGAAGGTTACCTGTGGTTGTAAGAGTCAAAGTTATTTGGAAGTAGGCACTTAGGAAATCTTGTCTTTCCATATTTTACACTCAATTACCAGTTATTTACTCAAAATGCATCACAAGAAATGGAATCTATGAGGTAATGGTAACAACTATAATAATAGAAAACAACTTCTGAGCACTTCCTAAGTATCAAAAATTTACATATTCTTTATTTTTCATGTATCAAAGAAGAAATAATGATAAAGAGGTAGAAAGAGAATGGAGCAAAACATTCTCATCAAGGGAAGCTTAGCATATCAAACAAGGGCATTAGCAACTTGACAGAATTAAAATAGATATTTCAGGGAGATGCGTTCTTCTCCCTATAACTCAGAATAAATATTTACAAACATACAAACAAAAATGCCTCTCTTTTCCTCCATGTTTAATTCTTTGAGGAAACTCCATACTGTTTTCCATAATGGCTGCATCTGTCTGCATTCCCACCAGGAGTATACTAAGTTTCCCTTTTCTCCACATCCTCTCCAGCACTTGTCATTTGTTGATGGTAGCCATTCTGACAGGTGTGAGGTGATACCTCATTGTCATTTTAATTTGCATCTCTCTGATGATCAGTGACTTTGAGCATTTTTTTCATATGTCTCTTGGCCATCTATATATCCACTTGGAAAAGTATCTATTTAGGTCCTTTGCCCATTTTTAATTGGATTGTTTATCTTCCTTTTGTTAAGTTGTATGAGTTCCTTATATATTTTGGATATTTATCCTTTATCAGATGTATCATTGCCAATATGTTCTTCCATACAGTGGGCTCCCTTTTCATTTTGTTGACTATTTCTTTTGCTCTGCAGAAGCTTTTTATTTTGATGCAGTCCCATTTGTTTCTTTTCCTTTGCCCTAGGAGATGTATCCATAAACATATTGCTACAAGAGATGTCTGAGAAACCCAAAACACCAATCAGAAAGAACGTATGCATCCCTATACTCATAGCAGCACAATTTACAATAGCTAATATCTGGAAACAGCCTAAGTGCCCATCAGTAAATGAGTGGATAAAAAAGCTGTGGTACATTTATATAATGGAATACTATGCAGCAGTAAAAAAGAAGAATCTCTTACCCTTGGAGACAGCATGGAGGGAACTGGAGAGTGTCATGTTAAGTAAAATAAGTCAGTCAGAGAAAGACAATTATTGCATGATCTCACTCATATTTGGAATCTAAGTAACAAAATAAACTGATAAATGGAGTGGATCTAGAGACATGGAAGCATGAAACAGAGTGCAGAATCTCAGAGAGAAGGTGGGGGAGGATGGGTGGGTGGTAAGCAATCAATCAAGAACCTTGTATGCATATGTGCATGGTCCCTGGCCACAGACAATGGGGCGGTGAGGGCCTGGGGCTGGGGGCAAGAGTGGGCTACAGGGGGTCAATGGGTGAAAAAGGGGGACATATGTAATACTTTCAACAATAATTATTTTTTAAATGCCTCTCTTTTCCTCAATCTCATAGCACTTCCTACAGAAAATTTTGTTCTAAATTTCATTTACGCATTCATTCACTCAAGAAATATTCATTCATCCCAGCTGGTGTTGCTCAGTGGTTGAGCATCAACCCATGAACCAAGAGGTCACTGGTTCAATTCCTGGTCAGGGCACATATCTGGGTTGCAGACTTGATCCTCAGGGGCGGGGGGAGGGGGGGTCGGTGCAGGAGGCAGACCATAGATGTTTCTATCTCTCCCTCTCCCTTCCTCTCTCTCTAAACTCAATAAAAACATATTTTAAAAAAAGAAATATTCATTTAAACATTTAATAAATAGTTATAGGATTCCTACTCCATTGTGTGCTGGAATCACAGAAATGAATAAGACCCTTTCTCCTTAAGGAACTACCTAGTGGGGGAAATGTACATGTAAAACACACATGTGCAAACACACACACACACAATGTTGAGGTAGTCTGGTGGAAGGAAAGCTGTATCTTTACTGATGAATAAGGACTGGTCAGGAAGGAGAGAAAGATGGAAGACATTACAATCAGAGGGAGCAACAAGAACAAAGATCAAGTAGTTTGTGGAATTACAAGCTGTTTCCTGTGGCTAAAGCAAGTAATTCTGGGACTGAGTTGGGTAAGAGATGAGACTGGCATTAAAAGACATGGGAGCCATACTGAGTTTTAAGTATAGGTGTGAAAGGTTCAGATGTATGTTTTGGAAAGAACACCCCAAAACTGACATCCTGTTCTCCTCCCAGGGTGATGAAAAGGTCAAGAAGAATGGAGAGATTACCAGCTGCCAATTACCAATCCTAGGCCAATCTACAATGTGCCAAGAGAATGAATCTCTACATTTACCGACTCCATGTTTTCATTGCCCAGAGTTGCTACAGAGTCAATAGGACAAGTGGGGTTACATGTGTACGCATATGTTTGATTTATTACATGGGTTACTCGTCAGGCAAAGGGAAGGAAGTCACAGTGGATTTTTTTCTCAATGCCTCTGAAATTTTCAAATAGGAATGTATAGGTTTCCATGATTAGGCAAAACCAAAAATCCCTCTCTTTTTTGCTCATTCAGTACCTTGCTTAAGGTGGATTTACCACACCCTGGTTGGTCCTCTAATGCTACCCACTTCTTAGTTTATATTCTACTTGCTTTTATTATAATATGGGGAATTATTTTGATTCCTGGGTTACCTTGTTTAATGTCAGTACAACCTTTCTTTGATGAGACACGATACCTATCTTTCTTACAAATGCATATATTATATGTGTATAGTAATTGCAAAATTTTTCACAATTCTTATTTCCACTC